ATATACACACATCTCCCCTCCCACGAGAGACATCTATGTGTAGCTATATATCCCATTCAATATCCTGAAGAAAGAGCAAGAGAGAGAGTTTTCCTCTTTTAAAGCCAAGGGATGAAGTGTCTGAATCCATTAAGGATGAAAGGACGATAGTTGGCAGGAAAAAGAAATCTCAAAAGTAATTCTAAAAAAAGGTTGAGGGGTCATCAAGGCACTGAAAAAAAAGTAAGGTTATTTCTTTGGCAGGTCATCTGAGTATTTTTATTCATTTCTTTAAGTGGCACAGCTTTCTCTATTTTTCAGCCTGCTGCACTGCAAGGGAGATGCTGTATTTTTGGGCTGAAGTGAAACCTCACATTGTGACTGAGACTGAAGCCTCAGCAGCAACTGGCCTTTAGCAGAAAGTGAGATCATGTCCACATCTACGCCTCACTTTGTCTATTCCATACCTTCCTCCCATCTGGCATCTCATAAAAGCAATATGATACTGAGGATGCAGTTGAGAAGAGAATGACAATTGTGCAGGCTGCCTGCTTCTTGCTGACTCAGCCAACACGGTGCTCAGCTAATTTCCGCAGTGCTACAGCAGCTTACTCACAGTGGAGGCAAGGAAATGTTTTTAATTGATTAGAGCCTCCCAGAAAGCCAAAGCTAATTTGTCAGTTCACAGATGAGCTGTGCTAAAAATCATGTTTTCTGGTCATAGAGCTAAATAGGAGTTAGGCTGGGCTGGCCCTCTATCACTCCTGCTCAGGCTGCATTGGTCACACATAGATAAACTTTTTTGGGGAAGAACAACTCCCTCCTCTGCAGTTGTGAGTGAAGCCAAATGCCATTGATTCAAAAGGAAAGCAGAGCTGAAAGGGTCAGTGGCCTCTGTTTCGAAAAATCTGGAGTCCAGTTTCAAGGCATGAGACAAAGTTGAAATACTGAGACAGACTGACTTCAAAGGGTAAAAAATGAATGTGAGAGCAATTAAAAAAAGAAGAATTTGTGAGAGCAAATTACACTCTGACTTACCACATGGTATTTTCTGTGTTATTGAAGTGCAATGTAATTTAATATTATGCCTATGGTTTAAGTTTAGAAAGACACTGACAGACAAGGACAGAAAAAAGAAAACTATAGATCTATAGGGAAGAGACTCATTGGTGCAGACTGGCAGGGAAACCTGATGGCAATGATATGTGGCTATGCAAAACCCAGAATGTGAACTGGATGACATGGTATAATTAGAGAATATAGACAATCGAGATAAAACTTTAAAATCTTAAGAGAATATGATGTTAAAGGCTACAAAGGTGTAAAAACTGATGAAATACCTAGAAGTGAAAGTTTGGATAGATACTTTGTTAAACAAAACCTGAATGAAGAGTGATTCACTTTCTTTTATGTGATAAAGTAGGAAAGCAGGTTAACTATCCAGAAGAACAAATGTAAATTACTTTATACATTTGCTAAAAGAACTGCTCCAAATATCGGTCAAAATCTTTTCTTCATATGCAAATGTTCTCTCAGTTGTTCAATTTTATTTTAATTAATGTTTTTCAATATGCCACAGGGTGCCCAGTGATCAGAACAGGCACCAACAGTATTTATAGAAGCAATCTGGATCTTTTAGAACATACCGAGAACTTTGTACAATACACCAAACAATGGTAACACACACACAAATGTATTTTAATTATAGTAACAAAAAATTATTTTACCCTTCCCAACATCCATGTGCAACACACAAATGATTGGTAAAGGAGTGCACAACATCTGGTAACAGCTAAGGAAAAGGGGCTGTGGAAATCTTTCTGCAGATTTTAATACACTGTGGGTTAGGCCTTTTAAGAGTAACTATGTTATGTGACATGGGCATTTGCCTTTGGAACCTCAGGCTGGGTCAAGTAATTGCATCTGGGAAATACAGTTTCTGTTTCTTCCCAGGTCTTTTGTGGTCACATTTTTTGAAGATCAATTTTGATGATACTCATTTAAATGTTTCCTTACTTCATAGTGAAAGAGGGATGAAAATGGCTCACAGGAATCTCAAGAGTAATGTATTAATTCAATCATAGTGATAAATGTGAATTTGACCCTTTCTGCTATGTTCTTACAGGAAGGTAATCTTGCCAGCACTCAGGAATATATTTTATTTCTTTCTCAGTACATTTTGCAGTCTTGTACTTTATCTCTAAATTTTTTAAGATGACAGAGCTGTAAAGAGTGGGACTATAATTAGAAAAAAATATAAGATGATCTATTCCCATAACCCTAGAACCAATGATTTTGAGAACACCACCAAATATCACAAATCTTGTGGTGAAGTAGAAGAAATGTCAACACCCAGTGACACAGATAGCACCGTGCCGTGAGGCCATATGTTACTTTCCACATACCCACTACCTTTCTTTTGCTAGAAATAAGCTTGTGGAGAACATATTTAACCACCCTTTCCCGACAATACTAATTGGCAGCAGCTATCTTGTGATAAGCAGTCATCTTCCCACACTGCTTTGTACAAGGGATTCCCCAAACTCTTTTACCTATGAATCAGTTTTGCAGGGTCTGGAAAATAGGGGTAATGAAACAGCAACAGTTTGAGAGATCCTACAGCAGGACTGAAAATAGGGCTCATTTAGAACCGTGGCTGGAGCTAATAGAATAAGAATCCATGTGTACAGAATACGCTTGTGACACAGTTTTATCTGACATTAGACCCCCATGCACATGCACTCATTGCTTTCTAATAAATAACAATTTCCCTCATCATAAATACTGGCCTTTTAGTAACACAATATGGCATCATCAATTCTCTCATCCTTTTCATATGATTAATATGCACACATTTCTTACAATGACAATTGGCATCAAGATAAAGGCAGACAAAAAATCTATTACAAAGCAGGACAAGAACCACCTCTTTGCTTGACATTTCATTAATAACCAATGCACAACTGCATTACTCATGTCTCAAAATAACACAGTTGCCGAACACAACTGAGTGTAGACTGAGAAAGACTTTACCTTGTGATGAAATAGCAAACTGTACCTTTACCTTCTATTTGAAAAGGATGCCTATTGCATATACTGTCTCAATATTCACCAGATTCACCAGAGAGAATGACAAAAGATCTCCCTGCAACCTGTCTTTCAGAGCTAGTTCTTTACATATTTAGATTTGGATCTATGAGAGAACTTCAAACTCTATTTTATACTCAATAAAGCCATTTTATCCCCTAAATAATAGAATTTTAATTTTTGGGGGGACTGAATGTAATCCTTGCATTACAGTTACTACAAAAACACCAAGTCCAGGAGAGGAGCAAGTAAATGGGGCCTGTTAAAACAGATCTTGCAAAACAGCCAGTAAGAAGTCTGGACTGGCCTGGGCTAGGGGGGAGGCAAGAACAACAGGGCACCACCCAGCTCAGTGTGCCCAAAGCTGTAACTAATTATGGAGGCATTACAAAGTCTCAAATTCTTTCTTCACTGTGCACCCACAGTTGCCTAAAGACGAAAAAGTGCAGTCAGCAAGGTGTACAAACCCTGTAAGATGTCTCAGTGACCTCAAAGCTTCCCTAAACTGGAACACTAAGAGTGGGAAACAAAATTAGACCATCTCTAGTACTGCTATACTGACCCATCTTTAGGTCACTGGCTGGGAAAGTCCAGTTTACAGAATGACAAAGGCTTTGAATTCACATATCTTGTTTTTAAAATCTTTTCTTGATTATATTGGTGTTAACTGCCATAAATCTTACTATTATGCCATTAAAATTCTATTTATAAACACATATCTTTCAATAATCTACTCACGGTAATCGAATAGGAATCAGCTACTCTCTCTTTTAAAGCAAAACCCTGCTATTACAGACCAATATGGCACACTGACCCTTTCATAAATGTGTCAAAAAGAAGGTAAATATCTCTTGCTCCCACAGCTCCTTCTATGGAGCTCTTCCACAGTGGCAAGTTTTGTTTCATGAAAGATGGGCCCATCAATTTATTTGATTCTATTAACAGCTCTGCAGCATAAATTTTCCCAGTTTCTGTTCCTGTTTGTGAACATGTGTATTAAGATTTGCACTCAGTCTTCCAGATAAGGTCTTACAAGTGTCTTGTACATGACATTGGTAATTCCTTATCTCTACAGGCAATGCCAGAGGATGCATCTTAGTAGTATATTAGCTTTTTTTATAGATGCATTAGGCAGGCGGTTTGTAATAATCCTGAGATCACCCAATAAAGCCCCATTTTGACAGCCTCCCTCAGCAATTATTACTGTTGATTGTCGATGACACTCTGTAGTGCTGCATTCCATTCCACTTCTGTTTTTTAAGTCTTTCTGACCACTAGATTTTTCCTGTTTGACATTCAATCATGGTAATGATCTGTCACCTTCACATTACTGATACAGTTCCACATTTATGGTTGGTGTCATTATTGACAACATTATAAAATGAATCTGTAAGGAATTCTGTAAATCTCTGTCTATCACTCCAATTTGTTGACTTTGGTGCCATATTTCCACATTCTTCCGGAAAACTGATGTAAAGCAATTGCTTATAACTTCATAACACCAGTCCATCTTGCATCTGCAGAAGTAATTTATATGGGGTGGTTCAAAAGGTGCATATTTTTTGTCAGCCAGCCATAGATCCCTGGTTAATGATAGGGGTCAACAGGAAAGATTAAGTATCTTCAGCTGCTTATAAAGGGTGCAACTCTCATATAAATGCTTTCATATTAGAAACTAATCCAAATCAAACAAATAACTGCTGGAAATTATGCAACAATTTGCTGAATAAATCCATATCCACTCAGCTATACTGGCAACATGCAGGCAAATTTTAGGCAGCTATTTAAATTCTTTCCATCAAAATTGTCAAGTTTAAATATTCATTATTTCTTTGAAAGTTTTATGTTTCATCCTAAAATGATATACCAACATGCACATAAAAAATATCAGAAGGAGAGGACTCCTATCACACTTTCAGTATCCTCCTACTAACCTTAGGTGGTTTAAAAGGATAGTCCGGTGAAAAGGTAATGTCAAGGAAGAAAACTCCACCTTCATATACAGACCCTGGAGGCCCCAGTATAGTTGACCTCCATTCATAAATGTTGTCTCCTTTGGGTCCAGCACTAAAATAGAAAACAAAAAAAACCATAATAACCACATACAATCAAGCATATACTGCATCAGTTATACTCTACTACTAGTAGTACTGCTGGTTATGCAATAACACCACAAGTTAAAATTGTGTATCACATTCATTAAATTAGTCCCCAATAAAACATGTAACTGATGTCCTAAGCTCTGTCAGAGAAGTGATATATTCAGCTAGGATGAAGTATTAAAATCACATTATAAATTATTCAAATAAGCACAGAAAAATTCCCAACTGCCTTATCTCAAATATTTTAGTGGGCAGATGTGAAGTATTTACAGTGCAAGGATAGAGAGACTTTCCTGAGAAGTCTTGTTAGTGTCTTGCTTCACAAGTCATCCTATTTTCACCTGCCTCCTCATCCACCTACCTCATCAGTCAGTAGCAGTGTAATTACACACATTATACAGCACAGACTGTACTAAGGACTGAGCTGGGTACAAATGACCTTGCAGCTGCACTCGTTAAGTTACTAACCTAAGCTCTCCAGTCACTAGCACAGAAAGCTCCTTTACTCTGAAATCATTACCCTATCTTAAAAATAATATAAACAGGAAGTGGGTTAAACTGTTGGATTATGTTAATTCAAAGTTCTTAGTTAACAACACAATACTAAAATAATATTTAAAATGTACAAAACATAATCCTGTGTGAAACAAGAAAAATCTCTCACCCATATGGTGAATCCATGAAAAAAATGAAACAAAATTCTAGCTGATAAAAATTCTTGGGCAGGACTCCTCTGAAAGCCAACACATTCTCCTTTCATACAACATAATGCTTGTCCATAGAAATACATATTTTACTCAGAATGGCCTCTTAAGGAATATGAAGATTTCTTTTTGGTTCACAGCCTTCTGATAACAGTCACTGATACAGGACCTGAATTTTAATTAGGATCAACTGGGATAGTGACTTCTAGATAGCTGATTAAAATTTTTCGGAGGAAGGCAGCACTGGTAGGTATCTCGAACAAGTGATGTGGTACTGTCTTAAGGCATTTCTTGTGAAGCAATTCTTGTTATGTTTGCAATAAAGATTTCCACAGCATACAAGGGTTTGTGAAATAACTCCGTGTGTAGAACAGATGAAAGCTCTTGGCTATGCTCCACACCTTACAATGTACCCAAGGCATACAATTATTATATGACATCAAGTCATGTTCACTGCTCAACTATTCATTTTTTTCACTGAAAGTGAATAAAACCCTCTTTCACCTGAAATTCCTTGGGCTCCCTTCATTAAAACATCTGACTGTATGATTCCCTGCGTACAACTGTGTGACTTAGTACTGTGCAGTGTACTTCATTAGTCATGGTACCCACATCAATTTTCTATAATAGCTGTTAATGCTTCTTCGCTTTCTAAACTACGTTGCTCTCTCAACAAAAATGGGTTACAGAGACTATAACATTATGGAACATTCATTTTCTATCAGTCATAGTAACAAAACTAGCAATTGTTTTAAAGATAAAATCTGGCTTTTTAAGTGTCACAATAGCAGAAGTGCTGCCATCCATATTTCACAGTGTCTATAATACATCAGGTTGCTAGCTGCCAAACAAATTTAATTTACCCCGTTCTCAGTTTGCATTAACCTTTGAATAATAAAGCACAGCTGAGACTGCTGTAAGAAACAAACCAGAGAATGAATAATTAAAAACACCTCCACTGCCTTTAGAAAGACCAATCCTGAGTCAACAGGGAAGGTTTAATTGTGACTGAACTAGGCATTAAGGGGCTAATTGAACTCTTTATAAGCCCAAACAAATGTGGTACTACATCAGTGGTATGGTATACAAGGTTCACAGAAAATAAAACTCTTCAAAAAAAGAATCAGGCAATTGTTTCAAATAGAAAAGGCAAGAAGCAGGGGAAGTTTGAATCTTACATGGAAAAAAGCCCATAATATGTGAAAGAAATCCCTTCCCATTTTCTGCAGAAAAATGTTCTAACACTTGAAGAAGCAATGACTCAGTTGATGCCAGCAGGTTAAAATGGAGGTGATATAAATGGTTGGAAACAGCAAGAAACAAAAGCTGGCCCTGCGTTTCTTAGTCCTTATTCAGCCAGGAGAGGATGTTTGGGCTCTTTTTGGGTTTCAAGGAGGCTTACTTTTTGGATCAAAACTCTCTCTGACAGTGGCATTTTCATAACGTATATTATTTTTATTTGTTTTGCCTATTTATTTAATTGCATTAACATTTGAAATGAGCAGTCATTAATTAGAATAGTTGGAAAATGCTCCATCTGCCAGTTGAACTGTTTCGGCACGTCCAGCTACGAGCCCAGCCTGATCACATTCTGAGGAGGCTGATTAACATTAATTGAAGGTTTTCTTTGCAAATGAGAGATGAAGCTTTATTAAGTATTATTATTAATTTGAAGAATAGCTTAAATTGTATGGAGTGTGGGAAGACTGCTGTTATCGACGCTGCCTGTTAAAGTGCTTGCTGGCAGCAAGGCCGTTCAGCCGATGAAAAATACCAATCCATGTGCACAGGCAACAGCTGGTACTAAGGGCAACAGCATGCACAAGCATAACGTTTTTCCACTTGCGCATTAATAATACAAAAAGTTTGACAGGTGTATTATCTTTGTTTTCCTTTTTTTCCTAATTGTTAAACCTTTTATTTATCCACACTATTGGCAACCAGAACAACGACTCATCAGGCTTCACCAGAGAAAATTCCCATATGTGCAAGACCTCAGCCAGAGCATTATTCTATAAGGTTTAAAATGCAAGAGGATTTAATTACCCTTCTCTCTACATGGATATCTGCCCGACACACTGAAGCCCAAATGTTTTACATTCAGTATGATTTATATTCCAGCTCTATTAAAGTTACTGGCAACCAAACCACAGATCTCAAAGAATGCAAACCAAACAGCTCAGTGCCTGAAGTTCTGTTATCTTTGGAAGGACAGATTCAGATGTGCACCCGCTCAGCAAAGGGCAGACTAAATCTGTCTTGAACTCAACTGACCCAGGGCCAGAGCATATGCATGATGCCTGCAATGAACCTACTGCTACAGCAGTCAGCTTCGGAGCAGGAATAACAGTGGCTGTGGCAGCTCCAGGTGGAAGCAGCTGAACTAGAAGGATGAGGTAGTTAGGAGAAGGACAAATCTGTGGTTAAACCAGCAGTGCAGCCTCCTAGCGTGAGCCCTGCTGCTGACACCCCAGCAGCTCTGCAGGAAGAGGCAACCAAAGAATCAGCAAAAAGGCTGTAGTGTCACTCCGAAGCTGGTGCTCCCCACATTTCCAGTGTTATCTCCCAGGTGAATACATAACATAGGACTGAGAAGGTGCAGCTGAGCTTAAAGTCCCTGAAGACTTGAAATTAATTAATGGCTTCTCAAGAGCCAGCTCTCTGCTGTCATTATTCCTCCATAGATGATGAGACACTCCACAGAATACTTTATTTTACCTACTGAGGAGACAGACTTTGGTCACTGGAAGAGATGGAGTGGGTGGACATGGAACCAGTTTTCTTCTAGAATGACATCAATATGGGTGTACAAAATTCAGGACAAAGGAGTCAAAACATGTAAAATGGTCTTTTTATTTCACTGTCCTTTGCTTCTTCTGTATTTTAGTTCTGTCACTGCTTCCCACCTACATACTTGCAGGTGAAATGTATGCACATCAGTTACAGACAGAAGCAAAACACTTTCAATGCTACTAGAATTGAATTTATTTTGCTTCAAATACGCTTACTACACTGAGCATTTTCTATTCCCTCAATATGTTTTAGGCAGAAAGTACTGCTGCTAAAAACTACTTGTCCAGTGCAATGTATTACAAACAACAAGTTTTCCCTGCATTTAGAATATCCTAAAATAATGTATTATGACAGCTGTATGAAAACTACAGCATCTATGAGACATATCAGATGAAAACCTATCTGGAGAAGTTATGAAAATACAATTGATTTTAGTTTTGTCAGAGCTGTGATTTATATACAAATTTTTGAATTTCCAGAGAATAATTCAAAAAAGTGAAAATAATGGTATCTCCCTTGTTTATCATGTAGTCATACGAAATAAATTAGTCAAAATGATGTTATCATTTCTAATCTAACATATTTCTTGATGAGGGGTCACATACCTTCCCAGCATCTATAACTGGAGGTAGCAAAAACTCAGTGTATTTCTGGTGAGGTGGAAAATGAGGACTAAAATTTCTGGTGAGGTGGAAAATGAGGACTAGTTCAATGTCCTCCCTTCCATTCTGGGTCTCTGAAGCTTGCTAGTATCCACTGTTCAAGAGTATACTCTTTAACACAAGGGAAAGGCAAGTCTGTTGCACAAAACAAGTAAGAAAAGGAATTGCAACTTAAATCGCCTTCTAGATCTGACACATGAATAAGAAAGTGAGATGATTGGGAGGCCTTCCTATTCCTCAGGACTCAGAAAAAAATTGAAAGATTCTTCTGGAGTGAGTGAGTTTAAGTTTATTTTTATCTTCATCCTTTATAACAGGGTAGAATAAAGCAGAACCAGGATATTGTACTAATGCCTGTGAACTCACTTTCCATGGTATTGTCTACGGCAATTCATTCCTATTATTGCATTACCTAATCTGAATTGCCTTAGCACACAGAAACACACGTCAGAACTTGGGTTCCCCTGCCCTATATGCAGTCCATGGAGGATGCAGTCCCTCTCAACTATCTTCGATAACATATGACAGCAGAAAGAAGAGGCTCTTTGTCTTCCTTTTCTTTTATTACATGGAGCCTTGACTTCAATGTTTAAGAGATTTCCCTCTGAGAAGAGAAGCTCACTACAGAATTATCTCCATTTCTATGTATTACAACACAGTTGCTTGAAATCCCACTTCTTGCATATCCAACAGTTATGCTGGAGAAGATCCTGCCTCTAGCTGCCTTCTGTGAATGCTTCTGGGAAGTCACTTGCCCAGAGGGCAAAGTGGATACAAAAGTATTGGAAGATTGGCAAAATAATTTA